TTTCTATTTTTTGCTTAAGGTATCCAGATCTGTCTCTATTACATCCAAAGAATTTGTACCCCTGCTGTAACAAATTACCACACATGGAATGGCTTGTAGAGTAACACAAATTTATTATATAACAGGTCATGTATGTGTGGTGTTTTGTTGTTTTTCTTCCTCCCAGACCCTAGTATTATAGGCATGCCCTACCGCACTAGTTTATCCAGTTGCTGGGGATCAAACCCAGGGCTTTGCACATGCTAGGCAAGTATTGTACCAACTGAGATACAGCCCCAGCCCCTATGTTTTATGTTATGTTATGTTGTTATGTTACAGTTTTGAAGGTCAAAAGTCCAAAAACTTTTCAATTTTGTGAAGCAAAAGTTGAGCTGGACCTAGGCATCAGCAGGGTCAGACTCCTTTAGAAGCTCTAGGGGAGAAACTATTTGTCCAGGCTCAGTGGCGGCCATCATTCCTTAACATGTGACTCCCCACCCTCCAAGCCAGTAATCACATGACTGTGACCTCAGCTGTGTTATCACAGCTCCTCTGCTTCTCTCTTTCTTTTCTGAGGACCTTTGTGAATATGTTGGACTCAACCTAGATAACTCAGAATAATCACTCAATCTCAAAATCCATAAGTCACACCTGCAGCATCCTTTTTGCTAAGGTGACAAGTCACAGGTGCTGGGGATTAGGATGTAGACAGTTTTAAGAAGCTATGATTTCTGCCTACTCTGTCCCCTCTCCAGTCTCTTGTAAGTGGTCTTTCACATGAATCTGATCATTATTACCCTAAGAAACTTCCCAATTCCCCAAAGCCCTCTGAACAAAGCTCTCAGCACATCTACTCTTCTACTCCCAATGGTTTCCTCCAAATGTTTTCTCAGCTCGAAGTGTCTTCTGCCTCAAAGCCAGTCCTCTCCATCCTTCAAGGTCCTTCCATTTCACAAAGACATCCATTTATAGCTCCAGCTGAAATCAGCTGGACTGAGCTCATCTGTTACCAGGCACCTGCCAGCCAGACCTCAGCTCAACTCTCTTCTCAGCCACAGGCTAGTCATGTGAACTTGGGAAAAGTACAGTACTTAACCTCTTTGAGCCTTAATTTGCTCCATTTAAAAAATGCTGATAAACCGGGCGTGGTGGCGCACGCCTTTAATCCCAGTACTCAGAGGCAGAGGCAGGTGGATCTCTGTGAGTTCAAGGCCAGCGTGGTCTATATAGTGAGTTCCAAGACAGCTAGAGCTACAGGAAGACCCTGTTTCAAAAAGACCGAAAAAAAAAAAAAAATGCTGATAGCCACCTCCTGCACAGATGGCTGTAAATGAGATAATGTGAATTGCTTAGCCTACTGCTTGGCCATAGCATTTATGAAAAATAAAATCGTTGGGTAACTAAATGAATGGCTATAAGAAACCGCTTTCTGTGGGCTGGAGAGATGCTCAGTGGTTAAGAACACTGGTTGTTCTTGCAGAAGACCTGGGTTCAAGTCCCAGCACCCACATGGCAGCTAACAACTGTCTTTAACTCCAGTC